TGTTCATATTATGATATAAGACCCTAACATATACAATAATCTGGGAAGGCTTATAGGGAAAAAAGGAAACACAGGTGTTTATTATAAAATAACATGTTTTCAAACGATTAAAACTTGAGAACTAACAGAGATCAAGAACCCATGGGTAGCCAAATCAAGTCTCTGCCTTGAACGATTTGAGTATTGCTGGTTTATAAGCCACTTGCAATGGAAACAGCACGGTTGCTGTACCCAACTGGGCTCACACACATTTTCCAAAAGAGCAGAGGTTTGTTGGACATTGGAAGAGCACAGAAGGGAGGGGAACAGGCTGATTTCTTCCTAAAAATGATTTCTTAAAAGAAAACCTTTTTAAATGTAGCTTCTTTAAAGGGTTATAAACTCCCTCAGTCTACCCACCCCCTGCTTCTTCTCCCCACTATATTTAGTTAAGAACAAAGTTTTCATTCCCCATGTTTCTGGAAGGGGTCAGTATTGCAAGGATCTCTGGCTCACTGGTATACTGCACACATATACTACATACAGGGACACCCCATAGCCAGTGAATATTTCTAACCTTTCTCTGAGCTTCTCCTTTTGGGGGGACTTCTAGTGAAACCTTTAAGATGCTCTGAGCATAGCTGTTTTTGTAGCCTCATTCAGTACAAGGCTGGAGCTTAATGACATTGTTTTGAATAAAATGCTGGAGTATATGTCACCCCATCCCAGACTACTGCTGCATATGGTAAGAATAAAGAGTGAGTTGCAGCTGAAAACCCCAAGCGAGACAGCTCTCACTCATCTGGGAATAGGGCGAGTGGGACAAACGCTCCCTCAAAAGGCACGAACATTTGGGCAGAGCTGGGGACTGAAAGAGAATGATGTTCTCTAGTTTCACCCATTAGTGAACCAACTAACAAACACAATGGTGTTGTTGTTATTTTGCTATAAGCAACAGGACGCTGTGTGTGGGCAGCAGTTTAGTGGGGAGGAGGATAAGTCGACCCCTTTTTGTCCTATTGATTTTTTCCTATTTGCATGACTTGAGCAAATTAAATGATGCAATATGGCTTTTTGTTACAAAACAAAGTGAGAGGTACCACCCAGACACATATGTTGATTCGCAGGAGCTGTTTACATGAGAATAGGGTGAAATCTACCGTGAACTGAGCATAAAAATTAGATTCAGCCTGGGTACTTTTTTTTTTTTTAATGCCTGGGCCAGCAAGAATGAAGCACAAGTTTTCCAAGTCTCTCAGACCTTGACAACTGCAGGCTTGTAACAGAGGAATTCCTAATTAAACCTAAAACGGGGAAAGGGAGGGCCAGCAAAGACACCTGATTGTTTATTCCCCGTGCAGTGATTGTTAATGACGCGGTCCAGCAGGCTGTCCGCGGACTACAGGAGACAGCATACATCACTGCATCTAAGCACGTCTTTACACTCTGCAGAGCACTTTTCCCACTTGGCTAAATTGATCAACGCACGGGAAACGCATACGTCATCACTCTTCAAAAACGAGTTCCTAGACAAGACCCTCCGAAGACAACTCACTACCAGTGAAACCCCAAATTTACAGCGTTACAACATGACAGAGAAACGACTCCGTTCGATGTGATACGGTGCAACGCTCCAGCAAAGTCTCTTGCCTGCGCCCCGAGTTCTCACGGTGGGTACCAGGAGCTCGCTTAAAAACGAGTTCCTAGACAAGACCCTCCGAAGACAACTCACTACCAGTGAAAACCCAAATTTACAGCGTTACAACATGACAGAAACGACTCCGTTTGATGTGATACGGTGCAACGCTCCAGCAGTCTCTTGTCTGCGCCCCGAGTTCTCACGGTGGGTACCAGGAGCTCGCTTCCCCCCCGGTTTAGCTGCTGTAAAGCAAGGCAGCTCTGACCCGGCTGGGGATCCCAACCCAGCCCTGCGTCCACGTCCTTCACGGGGTCCTCCCTAGAGCCGAGCACTCGGGGAGAACCGCACAAGTCTTTCTCACCCTGGAAAAATAAACCGGAAACCACAGCCACCTTAATTCACAGTTCCACGGCGGCCGGTGTCCGATTTGATCCAAAATACACTGTTAATCGCTATTCTTACAAAACGTTTACCCAGTCCGGGACGCGGGGACCACAGAAGCGTCCTTTTTGGAGACGGGCAAGTGTGCCGAGCATCTCCGCTCGGACTCCGGGGGCGGGAGGGGAACGCGCAACCCAATCGCCTTCGCTCTTGAGGAAAGTTACTGCCGGAACAAGTTTGGCCCCTCCTGACAACGACCGGATCGCGGCAGGCGCGGGGAAGCCCACCCAGCCGGCGCGCCAAGTTCGCACGGGGAGGCCGGCGAGCACCCACCTTGTTCTCCAGGAGCCGCAGTCCGGGGCTGTCGCTCTGCAGGCAGCAGGACACCCGCGGGTAGAAGCCGCCGCACGGGACCTCGCCTCCGCCCAGCAGCTCGGGCTGGGGCATCATCCGCCTGTCCCTCCTCTTCAGGCGCTTCGGGGGGCTCCCGTTCAGGCACCTTCTCCTCCTCGCTCCGCTCCCTTCCCCGAACTTCGCGTCGCCCTCGAAGAAGCCCAGGGCCACGGCCAGCAGCAGCAGCTTGAAGGAGAGCATCTTCAGCATCGTCCGCCCGAGAGCGCGCCCGGACGCCGAACGGGGGGTCGGGGGAGGCCGCTGCCCCGGGGGCCGCAGATGCCGGAGGGGCTGCCGGGCGGCGGGACGCTCCGCAGGCGGAGGGGGTGGCCGGGGCGGAGGGGCTGGGCCGAGCCTCAGGGCAGCTCGGGCGGCCGGCGGAGCGCGGATGACACTTGGCGGCTGCGCCGGCCGGCGTCGCGTCGGTGGGGGTCGGGGCTTTCCGCGGCGGGCGGCGG